CATACATATTTGCATATTACATACAAAAATAGATAACAGAACTCAAATTTGCGATCGAATTCATTTGAAACCGAGCGCTCTTGCAACCACTCAAAGAATTTGAAAGTGAAAAGGAATGCTAAAAAGGGTAGCAGCGAGCTGTTACGAACAAGAACACAAAGCGTGCCACCCGAAGACGAGTGGCACGGTCCCTTCGTCTTTCCTCGTCGTCCCCTCGCCCACAATAAACTGGTATGAGACTCTTTTGAATCCCAATGTGAAACGGCACTAAGCGTACATTTCTTAACATTGAATTTAGCATTATTTTTCTCATTTAACATTCAAAATGCTCAATTCTGCTATTTTGCGCTCCGCAGGGGTAAAATTCTGGTGAAATCCGCTTATAATTTGTTTGAGGTGAGATCCTCTTAAGTTGGCGAGTAACCCTCCGTCAAGAGGAACATTTTGACAATCGGCACACCATGAACCTTCTCTATGATATACGTTCTCTGGTATGTGTGGGTGGTCTGAGTGGTGTGATGTCTGCGTGGTGTGATGTCTTGTTGTGGATCGTGTTGATGTGGTGTGTTGGCGAGCAGCGGCATGTATGGAGGGGGGAGGCGTAACTCATCTAGCCAGACATCAATTGAAAAAAATTTAAATTTCTTACACATATTTTATTAGCCTTTATTTTCATTAAATAAAAAGTATTTAAAATTTTTTTTGACAATATGTCACATTGTCGAAGTTACTAGTCTGGAAAGTTACGACTTTTTCAACTTTTTGTTAATGATAAAAATAGAAATTATGGACATATAATATTTCTTCTAGTCCCATCGATAGCCAGTACTGTATAGAATGACATACATAAAATACGTAATGCTTGGAATATCTTTATGAAACATCGACGAAATATGGCAGGCGTTTATATTACCGTAAGCTATTTTCGGTAGCGGCAATTGTTTTGTTTGAGTGATGTCACGCATCCCAAATATAATTTTATTTCTCAAAAACGCTTGAGAACTTTCATGTATAAAATGTGTCAAAAATATAATTTTATCTTATGGTAACAAAAGTTTTATGTTCATGTCTTTATGAACATTCTGCCTGGGGCCAAAGTTGTGTTGTTTTAATACTAATAACTAGCCTATTATGTTTTATTATTATTATTAATTACATCTCACTCGAAGTTCAAACGGAACAGTCACAGTTCTTGTTATAAAACTAAAGTAAATATTTGGGATGTTTTTGGTATTGTTTATTAATATTGAATCAAAAGTCCTTATTTGAAGTGAAAAAGTTAGCAATCCTTTATTAATCTCGGATTGTACATGATGAGATGCTGTCATAGTTATTTCATTTGTAGTAGGTTTGAATCCACATGCTTCATGCTCTAACTGTTTAAATGCTGCTACTTCATATGAATTATCCGTAGCTGATTTCCAAATATTGATTATAATTCTAGGAGTTAGTTGAACATTCAACTAAATCTACTTGGTTTATCAGTGGATATTGATACAAATCAAACTTGTATACTAAAAACTCTGTTTTTAATTCTGAAATAATTATACTCGCTTTGTATTTTGCTTCATGGTTTATACAATGTTTAAGAAATTCTTATGTTTATGACCAGTCGTGAATGAACAATTTTTAGCAGTCATCGACTTATAAAGTTCTTTTAATTCATAACCCGATTGCTTTCCAGATAGTACTAAAGTGGTTGATTGTTAAAATGTTATTTTTAGTCAAATAATCGGCCACAAGCGTCGATCGATGAGCCGTCGCATTATCGTGCAACAAACGCCAACTTCCATCTTCGCGATATTCGGGCCGAACACGTCGAATACGGCGCACCAAACGCTTTAACACTCCAAGGTAGAATACCGCATTAACGTTTTGGCCGGGTGGAACAAATTCTTTGTGGACAATACCCTTGGATTCATAAAAACACATCAGCATTGTCTTCACTTATGATATCTCCAGGCGCGATTTTTTGGGTTTCGGCTTGCCCTCATTGATGTCCTCAGGACCATTTTGAAAACGTTGAAACCACTCGTGCACTCTGCTACGGGATAGGCAATCATCGCCATAAACTTGTTTCATCAATTGAAAAGTTTCAGTAAAAGTTTTACCAATTTTAAAACAAAATTTAATGCTGGCTCTTTGTTCGAAGCTCATTTTCGCACCGATGACAAAAACATACTGACACTTAAAACGCAATAACTTCACTTCCAATAGATGAAATGTCATGAAATTTATTGGAAGTCGATAAAGGATAACAGATTCTAACGCACTAGTCGACATATAGATGGCGCCACTAGAGTTTGCTTTGTTACTTTTTTACTGTTTACTTTGGAACGCACCTTGTATATCTCAAAATAAAAATAAGAATAAAAAGAAGTTCTGCATATGCTGAAGTATAAAAAATAGCAAAATTCTTTTTAATAAAAATACACAAAAATTTTACATAAAAATTATTTGTTAAAATATACCGATAATCCATTTAAAATGTTCAAAAATTAACAGTTTTACTTTTCCAGTCATGGTCTATAGAAGTTTGTCTTAGTTAAACCCAAAATATAGTCCCCAATACTGTATATTGGCCTTGGTAACTTCTCTTAAATTCCATTATAGCTTGATGAAGGTGTTCTTCTTGTTCTGTCGAGGAAGCTCTCATATTATCTTTAAATTTATCTATATTAGAGTGTAACATGTGCATCTTTAGAGACATTCTACATCCAATGACGAAGAAATTCGTAATCCTGTCAGTGATCAGCTTATCATATTTATCAGCTCTATGGTTTCCAAGGAAACCATGCACTACTGCTTTAAAATTCCAGGCGGAGCCAGGCACATTTCTCTACATTGTTATGTAACCTCCGAAAAATATCACAATCCATAATTTTTTTAGTTGCGAGCCTAATGCCAGTATTCAACTTGTCATGATTGTCTCATTTCTCTAATCGTCAAAATTGTGAATTAGTGACTCTGTTAGTCAGAACGTATAATTTTGGTATTCAGCCAGATATGTATATCAAATATATTCAACAAATAGGGTGGTAAAATAAGCGTAAATAAGCTGCTAGCTTACGTTGATTAGAGATGAGTGAAAAACAAAATCGTAATTTATGAATCAATTGCATGCAATTCGTTTTTTTTAATCAAATTTTAGCAACAAAATTTTTTGTTAATAATTATTGAAAAACAATACTGAAATGGTTTATAACAAATGCGTAATATTCAACATTTTTTTTGGTTTATTTAAATATAAATGAATAACAAGTAAGGAAGAGCTAAGTTCGGATGTAACCGAACATTTTGTACTCTCGCAAAGTCAAATGGTATACTCGTTTGAGATTTCTTTGTGGATTGGCTGATATTTTCGGTAAAAGGTCAACTATAGGCACTTTGGTCCACATATTTAGTACTTAGGGGTTTGAACAGTTTTGGTTCGATTTAGACAATTTTTGGTCACAAGGTGGCATACTTTAAACGTATTATTCACGTTTACCTCCAATATAATCATTGTTGCTTGATATGCATAGTCGAAAGTGAAAGAATCAGATGGAATTTAAAATGGTGTTATATGGGAAGTAGGCGTGGTTGTAGTCCGATTTCCCCCATTTTCGCACTATAACATAGAAATATGAAACTAACGTACCGTCTCACGGTACCCAGAAATATGTCTACCAAGTTTCATAAAGATATCTCAATTTTTACTCAAGTTACAGCTTGCACGGACGGACAGACAGACAGACGGACGGACGGACAGACAGTCGCCCGGATTTCAACTCGTCTCTTCATCCTGATCATTTATATAAATATATAACCCTATATCTAACTCGATTAGTTTTAGGTGATAAAAACAACCGTTAGGTGAACAAAACTATTACACTTTGTAGCAACAGGTTGTGAGAGTATAATAATACATAAATTACCATTTATTGTTTAATAAAATTCTGGTGAAATATTAATTATTTAAAGTATTAAAGCAACTTTGACGTGTTGTTCTGCCTAGAGAGTAATACTCCTCTGAATGGATTCTAGAGACTGCTCCCAAATCTTAAGGAGGCGAGTCTTCTGGCCTTTTGGTTTCATATATGAAAATGCCAAGTTTTGTGTAAGACCTATATTGAGTAATATTGTACATGTATAAATAAATAATGCAGTTTTTGAATGTTTGTACCGCAGAGTACGTTCTTTAGAAATGCAACGAAAATGTGATTTTAAAACTCCAAATGCTCTTTCTATAGTGTTTCTTGCTCATTTGTATTTGTAAATCAGTTATTAAATAATAATTAATTTTAATACCTACCGCTTCAACATTAATGCTGTAATACCCTTTTCTATTCATGTAATCATGTGGCACAACTGTGGTTGACGAGGCAGGTGCAATTATGCCAACATGAGAACAATCAATTTCTCTAACTACACCCTTTATTCCAAATTTCGAATAAAACGCGGAATAAGATTCTTGTAGAGTGATTTATTTTCTTTTAATAGCACAAACAGTCACCGACATTCCTCCCTTCCGTACTTACTGCCGTATCAAACCAAATTTGTCAAAAGTTATGGCTGTAGTTGCAACGCAGAAATCAGTTGTTCTCTTATGTGTTCATTTCACCAATTTTGCTATTGTTCTATTTGTATACACGATTTTTCACACATTTAGTTTTTTAGTTATAATTTTTTATAATGTAAAAGCTTAAAACTAAAATCCAACTGCTAAAAATAGGTTACCTATTTATAAATAAGTGTATTCGACTGTGATTTTGAGTTATTTTAAGAGTGATTTTGAGTTATTTTAAGAATATTTCAAATATATTCAAATTCATTTTTTAATTACTACAAAATATGGAGATTGGCAACCCTGCGTTGCAAGAGATTGCCCTCTCGCTCTCAGCTCACTCGTTTCTACTGAAAAAATCCAATTTTCGCGGATATCCTACCGTACGGTCTGTTGAAACGGACGGTAGAAGCGGTGGTGACTGTTCATTTATATTGCGCTCTCATAAGATAGGTTGTATCAGCTGATTCGGTCCACGGTTTTGAGTCGGTGACTGTTTGTGCCATAAATTGGACAACAACTTACCCAGTCTTAACTCTATTGTATCATCAACCTTTTACAAATTTGTTCAATACTACGAGAAACGCTAGATTTATCACCGAGAAATATCCATTTCCAACACACGCAACACTGGTATGAGCCATTGCGTAAAAAATATAGAACTAAAATGAACTACGGTTTCAGTTGTTGGATGAGGTATAGGATATAAGCACTTTGTTATTCATTATTGCAAAATTACAAGAATTTATGTATTACTTGTTTTCTTCGTCTCGTTTTTTCATTACGATATATATTAGCCCAATTGCATCCTCCATTTTTTCGCTCTTTTTTTTGTGACCTGGTTTAACGTAAATAACAAATTAGAGACTGATATTGCTCAATTAGAGATGAGACACTATCGACTGAATACCAAACAGTCTCTAAATAGATTTCGCCATGGATGAGTCTCTATTAGAGACTAGAGATTGCTCGCTGACTACCGGCATAAAAAGTTCCCATATTTATTTTCGCCTCTGAAAGCTTTGGAAAAAATTCAAATATTTCAAAGATGATAACCTGGTTTCCTCCAAAATCGAGGCACTGCAAACTTCAGTGCTCTTTTTTCACCTCGGTACCAGCCTACAATAAAAAAGTGACATATTATGACCTAATTAATGTTATCAAAATACAATGAAACCTTGATATAACAAACCTCAATATAACGAATTCCATGATATAACGAATTTTTCAAAATCCCTTAGCACTGCCCATAAGAGCTCATGTAAAATATACCTTTGTATTACGAATAATTTTTTTTCAACCTCACTATAAAGAATTTTTAGACTCAGCAAAAAAACAGATAGAAACTATTTTTGACCTTTACTTAACGAATTTTTTGATCCACAACCTTCATATGACTGCTTTTCTCGTCAGCTGTTTGACTGTAGTCAAAAACACCTGCCCCTCCTTAGTTAATCGCTTTTTGACTATAGTTTGCTCACTCCCTCCACTAGCTGGCAAAAGCTGGTGATTTGATTGGCTCGCAGCTACTTGCGATTTTTCCAAGAAGCTGAGGATGAAAAGCTCAAATTTTTACTTCCTCTTTCGCTGCAACCACGATCACCACCTACAATCTTCCGTAAAACAGTTTTTAAAAACTAATTGTAAACTTCGTCCTTTGATCCAGTAAATTAAGTTGCAATGGCTGAAAAACGTAAGAGGTGTTCGTTAAGTGTTGCAGAGAAACGAAAAATAATCAAGTTTGTAGACGAAAAACTTTAGTAAAAAAATTTGAGATTGCCAGGAAGTTTGACATTTCAACAAGTGCATTGGCTACAATTTTGAAATCAAAATAAAGATTTGCTGAAGAAAGCGGGCTACCTGCAAATAGTATATATATAAAAACCTCACTGTAACAAATAACTTGATATAACAAATATATATTTTCTAATTCCTTTCAGATTCGCTATATCAAGGTTACACTGTAGTTAATAATTATTATAAAAAAGAGGAAATAAACTCACCATCCAGAATATATCTGCAAGAGTTACATGACACTTGTGGAGCCCATTTCTGTCCTGATTTTTAACGGGTAGATTGAAGAAAGCTTGATATGCTTAGCAATCTTTAAATTCTTAGCTAAACCACATTTTTCTCTCTCATTTTATTAAATTCGCCACAAATATAGCAAACTGAGTAAGCGTCTCGTTTTCTTATGTACTGGTTTTTACAGGAAATAAAATTATGAAACACATGATTTCTCTGCAATTTGCATACAAATACTGTTGCAAACACCGACGCAAGCGACACTATCTCCCATGCTTTTCCCTCTCTTTTCACAGCAATAGCCCGGGAAGACCGACATTATATGTGCTCAAAAATCAAAAATGTCAGTTCGAACGTCCAACCAATAATATCTGAATTCATGACACCTTCTAAATTTTTCGTCGGTTTCAATTCTGATTCCAACAACTATCAGATTCTAAAACACCCATGATTATATCTGCCCTTTAATGTTGCTGCAACCATTATGCAGGCATCTGTCGTTCTGCGTTTTCAGTATTAGGTAACTCTAATATTGCCATCACTTCCAGTATTAGTTTTAATCATTTTAGCTAATGGCCACTTGGTGGGATGAGTTTCTTCATCTTCATTAATTTCCACTTATCTTACGAGCCCATGGGTATAGGACATCCTATTAAAAATGCCCAAGTGTTAAAACGTCTATATCGCTTTCACTATCAAGCCGACATAGAGGTCTCGAATTCAGCACTGCTTCAATCTGTGATAGTAAAGTAATCAAAAGTAAAGTACTAACTTGACTCCTGCTTCCCTGAGGAGCTGCCGGCGGTCCAAAATGCCATTGAATTTTGTTCGTTTCTAATATGGCAGCTACTGTTGAGTTTTTCTTGATTGCCTGAAATCTAGGGCTAATTTTCTACAAGCTCCGACAAAATGTGTTCCATTGTCCGAATATATATGCTGCCTTTTACCCCTTCTAGCAAAAAATCTTTTCAAAGCAGCTAGGAAAGTTTCGGTTGTTAAATCACTTACTGCTTCTAAATGAATAGCTTTTGTTGCCTTACATACAAATACAGCTATATATCCTTTAAATCGTTTTACCCTCTTCCTTTTGAACATTTCACATGGATCGGTCCTGCATAGTCTATACCAATGTATGTATGTAAATGGAGTTGAGATAGATACTCGGAATTCTGGATGATTTGATGAGCGACTACAAGCTTAAATTGTCTTTTTTATGGAATTTCTCAATCCAATAATCATCCCCACCATAGGTCGTGATCTACCAGTTTGTTCGCGAACACCACTCTAGATACTACATCAACTGTCCTTTGTTCCACCATTGCAGATGAATCTGTCTTTACTTCGGCAATTATGTATCCGTGCTAAAGTTAAAGATAAATGGCTCCAGGCTGTTGAGCAGAGATAGGTAAAAGCAGTTTCAATGTAAGATGCGGACTGACTAACATACATAAGAACAGTGTAAAAATAAAATAAAAATTAGTTCTGCCAGATTTGTATTATTTCATAACACTTCCCTTTAATAGAACATCTGACAACACTAAGAGTATGTTAGTTAAAGTTCAAAATATGTTAAATGTTTCATGACTTTATTTTAAGCCTAATTTAACATTAATAAATTCATTTTTAACAGCAGGTATCGTCTTTGTTAAACCATCTGCTAATATTTCGCTTGTAGAAATATATTCCAGCAGTAATGACTTATCTTGCAACTTTTTTCGCGTTTATGTCCACATGCTTAGTAATGAACCAGCTTACCTTCAGTATTGCAATTAGTTTTAGAAACCCACTTCGAATTTATTGCTATTTTACCTCAGGCAATTTCGGAAGCACCCAAGTTGTGTTTGACTTGTGAGAATTTCTTCTATTGCGCATTTCCTGTCACCTGCTTTTGAACTATTCAATGCTACTTTAAGCTCCACAGGATCATCAGCATCAGACACTACGCTGAACAACAAAAAACCTTTTGCTTTGTTTGCAATATCCTCCGATCGACGAATTGCACACTTGTTGTTACGCTGATCACCTGATTCGCTTTCATCAGGAGTATCGTACTCACTTTCCGAAGATTTACTGACATCAGACAATTCGCTTTCATTCACCTACCCTGGATTGTTAATGTCGTTAGCCTCATTTTCATTAATAATGTCAACAATTAGAATTGACTCTGCGCACTTGGATTTACTGCTGATATTTTCTAAAAATGTAGCATCATGACTCACAATAATTTTGAGAAATCTTTAGTTTAGCATCCCACGATTTCAGGGTTAAGAGGGGTATGGTTGGATAGAGGAGATTCTCCAGATGACGAATACACAATTTTCGTTATATGAACAATTACAAATGGGTTCCATGTTGACAGTTAACAAGTGTTGCCATATATTATATATATATATATATATTTATCAGAGAACGTATATCGTTCTCTGTATATATTATATATTTATATTTGCATATTTAATATTATATTATATATTCAATATTATTATTAGTGCAAATAAGAAATCTTAACAAATAAAAGTAATGTTAAAGAGGGTATATCACTCTCTATAAACTTAAATTTTTATTAACGATAATTATAATAACAGTGAAGATTTTGAAAATTTGATATATGAATACATATGGCGTAAACATATAGCATATCAGCATCATGATCCATATGTGAAATTATCAGATGCAATAAAACATACGTTTAAACCATAAAACCTTTTTCTTTTATTAAAATGGAAAATTAAGTTCATAATATTTCATAGAGGGTTTTTTATTTATTTTGATTGCTTTCATTCGTTTGGGTATGGCAACACTTATTATCCATTTGTTATTGTTCATATAACGAAAATTGTGTAAAAATTAAATGCTTATTTAAAGTAAATACTTAAATATTTAATATAAAATAAATATGTAGAAACATTGAAGTGAAAAGTTAGTGTATAATAAGTGCATAATTTAAAAGAAAAGATAACCATAAATCGAGAAATTGTAAAATAAAATTTGTAAAATTTTCAACTTAAACTGCAAATATCTCCAAAACTATAAGTTTCCGGCGGTAATTATATATATTCGTGATCTGGAGAATCTCTTCTATCCAACCATACCCCTCTTAACCCTGAAATCGTGGGATGCTAAACTAAAGCCCATCCATAATTTTGTCGTCAGATTTTCGGTAAAGACGATATGCTTTTTTTTTATCCAACAAAAACACACTCATCAGATTTTGCATCTAGCTTCTAACGTTTCTGCTTCCGTTTATAAACCATCGCTATGCAACCAAATTTGCGTGAGTGTTTCAAATTCGGTTTCAAATCGGACCATATTTCTTCCGGACTTCGACTACTACCTCTACAGGGAAGAATATGTTTTCTAGGCCAGAATCCAGCAACATGCATCTCACACGCCCAATTAATGTACGATTCATCCGCTCAGCAACCCCCGTCCTACTGTATATGCAGCTGTTTTTTGATGAACAATACCACATTCATGCATCAAATTTATAAATTATGAATGACAATATTCAGTACCACATTGAGTTTCTACTTCACTTTTAAATTGCTCGAATTTCTTAAATGAGCCTGATTTGTATACTATCGGTATAGCGAATACCTTTCTCGAAAAATCGTTAACAAAACCCACTTGCGCCGCTGAACGATTTTGTGCTAATTGGACCAAGCACGTCCGCATGTACAACGTTTAACAAATTTTCAGCACGAATACCAGCTGATTTAGTTGTATTTATAGTTACCCTTACAACATACACTGTATCCATTCTCACTTTCGCCGTTGAAATTCTGCACTTGCACGTGCTTTAGCCTGTTCTTGCATATATGTGCTAACATTCGGTACCAAAGCTCAAAACAGTCAATTGTTGTCACTGCTTTCCCAGTTCGAATTTTGGCTCAATCTAGTTTATACAAATTATTTTCTGCATGCGCTTTTGCAATTTATCCGTTTTTAACATCAAAAACCTTACATACATTGCTTTCGAGCTAGCGCAAAGGCTGGGAACATATTCGACATCTCGAATATTGGTTTCGACCTTTTGGTTTACATTTAAAACTATGCTGACTCCACCTACACTTTTAACAGGAACTCGCTCTCTGTTCGACAAAATTACTTCATTATGCTCTGCAGCCTGTGTTACCAACTCTACCTATTTTTAGTTAGATCTACCAACTTTTAATATTTTTTTCGAACCTACAAACTTGGATAAAAAATCTACCAACTTTTTTAATTTTATAAAATTTAATTTGAATTTTGTAAAAATAATATGTTGGGACTTTTACTTTTTATCACCAATCAAATTATTTATTTTTGATAGGAATTTGAATCGCGCGCTGCTTATTTTTCTACCAATGAGGAATC